ATAAATAATGCCTAATCCTTTTGTTTTTGTTAACAATAGAGCTTCTCTTTGTTCAGACAGTCAAATAACCAATGAAAGGATTTTCAATCTGTTTTCCTACTTTTAGTTTACTGGGTTCCTTAAATAAATATGTTGGACTTTATTTTACTTTGAAGATGTCAATAGAATTGATTTTTTTAAAGCAAGAACATAAATCACTGTTATCATCACACTTTTCAAATTCTGTTTATTGTTCTTGAGACATTTGACCCTAATATAGGCTTTCTTTCTTCTTTTTTATTGTTTTGCTTGTTTATTTATTTTGAATGATGGCAGAATTTAAAACTAGCTTCTCTCTCTCTCTCTCTCTCTCTCTCCATATTCATAGATAGATAGATAGATTTGGTAGTTGTTTTATGGAAGATCAAGTGGAAGAATTACAGGAAAAAAAATATAGTAGTAAACAATAAAGAAAGACCTACCATCATATTTGCTGGTGAAGTATAAATGAAAGAGAGCTATAAATTGTGAGGAAATAAGCATCCTATTTCAGGCTCTAATAGTCCTCTGTGTAAACAATTTTAATAGCTGCCTGGAGTGTCTTTCTGTCTCTAGTTTTTCTTCATTCATTCTGTTACATATTCCAGTGGGAGTGATCTTTATGAGAAACCACATTGGTCTTCTATCCAACAATTACTTTATTGTTTCCCATGGCCAGAAAATAAATAAATGAGTAAATAAATAAAAATAAAAATAAAAACTTTCTCAGTTCCCAGACTTCCAATCTGGCTGCATTGAATCTTTCCGACTTGATTTTCCTTCATACATCCTTCTTGCCAACCAGATTGCCCAACTCATTGTCAATCTCAAAATGCCTTGAAATTTTCTTCCATTGAAGACTGTTTTGTTTAGTCACTTCTTTGTATATGATGACTCTTTTGTCAATCTGACCCATACTTGAAACTTTGTGAAACCTTCTCTAAGGTTGCCAGAGTTTGATCTTCACATATTATCCACACCAACTGTGAGCGTACTGTCTACAAGGTATTTTCATAAATATACATTTTGTCCTTCCATGATGTCATGAGCATATTGAAACATATTGAAGTCGATACTCTTCTATTTTTCTTCTCCCACAATCCTCTGTGAATAGGACACAAACCAGGTATTTTGTAAATTTGAGAGATGGTAAATTGAAGGGTCAACTAAGGGTACTAAAGTGAGTTATAGACATCAAAAAATAGAAAATCACAATAAATGAAGATAATAGATTTCAGGAATTTGAAATGTTTACTCTCATTCAAGATCATGTAAAGATTCTTCAGAGGTAGTTATAAACAGTGGGTCTACAGAGAGATTTCTTTCAAGAGACTATGTTTTGAATTACATAGCACCCCTCAAATTTAGAGTTAGAAGCTACATTCCAACCCCAAGCAAAATAAGTCTGCGTCAAGAACAATTTCAGTATTGCCTAAACATGGGGTGGGGAAAGAAATCATCAGTTTAGACGAGACTCTACCTGGTTAAGGAATCTAAATACTAATGGGGGTGACTGGTAATCTGAGGAGGCAGGAAAGAGAGGGAGAGAGAATTCCTGCTGTGCTGTGCTAGAAATTGAATGTCCATTCCCCTCAACTGCAGGTCAAAGGTACAGGAATCCTGAGGTCCAGATGGGCAACCCATGATAGGAATATCAGTGAATGGACCAGGTAAAAGGGAACCTTCCCAACAGGTCTCTGTCAGAAGGTGAGGGAGCCCACATGGACAGAGAGAGTTGGTGAAAAAGGAGTCAGTGTCTGTAAACCAATACATAGGGGGTGGAGGGAGAAGGGAACTGTGAGAACAGCTAGCCATAGGAAAGGCCAGGCCTCCCTTCCTCACAGGTCCCTACAGGAACAGAGCAAAAGAGGGTCTAAGGAACTCAGAAATGACCCTAGAGCAAATACAAACTTTAAGGACCTTCTAGGCTCAGTGGACATGAATCATGCTACATTAGCTCTTGTCAGGTGAAAACTCCCTGTATCCTCTTCCCCTTCAACAAACTCTAGTCTTCCCCTTCAGCAAACTCTACTCCCTGTATCCTCTTCCCTCCCACAAACTCTAGTCCTCTAAGGGTCAGAACACTTAGAAGTTTGGAGATAGAGACAGTAAAGGAACAGAAACAGAGGGAAGAAATTTTTCAGGTCTTCCTTTAAGACAGCCTAATTTCGGCCTATCAGAAAAAGAGATTTAGGTTATTGTGAATTGCATTGAAACTTTTATAATTATATGTGACTGGCCATCTTAATCGCCATTTGTTTTTGTTTTTTTTTTAAATGATCATGACTCTTTATCTAAGAGTGAGCAGAAAAATCATGCAGTCTCCTGGAGATATTATCCAGAAGCAAGGCACATCTTTCCCCTATTAGTGAGAGAAAAATAATAGTATTTTGCTTGGTTGTACTTCACATCACAAGTTGTCCAATATTCCTCTTAATTAAATACTGGTTGATTAATTATTTTTAAATACTGGGAAAATCAAATTTAAGAAAATATCTTCTAATATAAAAGTTTAACTTATTCATAAAGTCAGTAAAATTTAACTTGCACTAGAACACTCCTTTAGGATTTAGCTCTACCTGTCATACCTTTGTCAGTTCTCTGTATTAAGAATGATTAAGTAAGAGATTGGTTCAGTTCAACTCTGTTATATTCATCAAACATTTTAAATCATGTACCCTTAGCACTGTGAAGGCATTGTCAGAAATTTTAGTTTATAGTGCATTTACTATTTTCACAGAGCTTAATTTTTTTAATTAACAAGAGCTATATAGAAGTAATCCAAGTACAGTAACATATAAGTACAATAGAATCCAATCAAGTTTCTAAATGTAGGGTACATCAATGGTAGCAGATACCCAAGATTAGCACTGTCTACCTATATCCAGAAGTATACACAAGAAGAGCATTTTGGAGTTTGGATCATATTAAATGTGTTTATTACTTAAGGATGGTCATTATTGATTAATTCATTTAAAAACCTAATCAAACAATGCCAAATACAAGCCAACCACTAAGCTGTGTTTTAGACATACATTGATGAATAAAACAGTCATTTTCCCTTGCATGACGGAACTCACAATCCAGTGAGATTCTACACTAACATGCTATCCATATAAATCTCTCATTATGTAAAATTGTGCAATTGAGGGGTACTACCTAGACCACACATTTTAGATTGTCTCTTTCAATGATCACAGAACTATTCAAATGTTGTCAGTAGAGGGTTAATTCTTTTGTTTATTATTTTTTAGTAATGGCCGACACTCTCTGAGAACTTATATCCAGATGATGATATGAGCATTGTATATGACTTCACTTACTTCATCGGTTAAAAAACCCTACAATACAAAAAAACACTCTTATTCACCCCATTTTGTAGATGAGGAAGTTAAGACACAGAAAGTAAATGTATCTTGTTCAAGATCATATAGCCTAACTGGAATTCATATCTAACACTATATCTAACAGCCTTTTGATTAAATTTTTTAAAACATTTATTCAGACATTAAGTTAATTGGGAACTTTATTGCCAAAGCTCTTTAATCTGGGTGTGATGTTTATTCTTTACATGTAAAAACATGATGGCATGACTTAATAAACCCTGCGTGGAGTGGAGGGTATTCATGTATGAGAAAAGGCAGAGCTGCTTAATGCATCAGGATCCTTTGGTTAGAAAAGGATTTTTCCATCAAGAAGCCTTGTGCCTATTAAAGACTTCAGTCTTACTCTATTTTGGGTAAAGTAGATTTTCCCCCCTTCAATTGATTTGTATGATTTACACATTGTTTGCAGTATATGTACTGGTGGCAACAGTAAAGAAGAGTGCACTAAGTTGTCCAATAAAAAACAATATCACTTTAGATTTTTTAAAACATAGTTTAGGGTCACATTATAAATTAGCTTTGGTATTTAGACTTTGTTCTTCCTAAACCTCCATTTCTTCTGTGAAAATGAACTAGGAACATCTGCCTTGAACACCTCAGACAATTGTGGGGAGCATAAATACAATAATGTGGAGGAAGGTATTGAAGAAATCATAAAGTGTTCCACGTATATCAAATTTTGTTTTCATTATTTGTTCATTTGAATTTATCATCATTCTTAAATGGTATTATATTTCTTCCTATTACATTGATTAAATAAATTCTAATAATTATTTTACTGGATGTCTTTCTTATGCTTGGAGTTAGGAAAGAGAGTAAATAAAAATGAAGTAAAATTTTTAAGCAGGGGCTTGATATGGGATAGATGCCTTGTTTTATTCTAGAATTGTTGGGAAGGATGAAATGGGACCTTCCATCCACGTAAGAGCTCTAGAGTGTGAGATGTCCAGGTCTTTGTATCTTGCAAATTTTGGTTTTAGGAGTTATCTGGCACACAAAAAAGATAGAAGGAAACATCACTATTTCCAAATAGGATAGAGTGAAATAAATGGATAAACTTGTTATTTAACTACTATAAATTGCAAAAGACATCCACAAATTAATCATTTATATGTAGGATTAGTGCCAAGAGCAATATTTTCCCTTTTTAATTTTTATGGTATTTAGGGCTCAATGTATACCTGAAAGTGGTAGTTTGAATCAATCACTGTAATCAACAAATGATCTTTTTCTACAGAAAGAATTCAAAGTCTATCATGAATGCTCTTCTCTTTACAATGTATATGGAATGGTCAAATTGATCTTAGTCTTCCTCAAGAACTATATTTTATTCCTTTACAGTTTTAAATTTGAGATATGTCTAAACTGGGAGATTATACATGAAAGTTATGTGAAATTTCTATTTCTAATCTGAATATATCTATTTTTTAAATTTGCTCTAATTAGTTATATGTGACAGTAGAATGCATTTTGACACAGCAAACATATATGGAGTATAACTTCTCATTCTTGTGACTGTACATGGTGTAGAATCAAAGCAGTCATGTAATCATATTGAATATACCTATTTCTAACCTATTGTTTATTATTTAACAGGAATTCATTGTGAAGAAGACATCGATGAATGTTCATCAAACCCTTGCCAAAATGGTGGTACTTGTGAGAACTTGCCTGGGAATTATACTTGCCATTGCCCATTTGACAACATTTCTGGAACATTTTATGGAGGAGAGAACTGTTCTGACATTCTTCTGGGCTGCACCCATCACCAATGTCTAAACAATGGAGTATGCATACCTCACTTCCAAAATGACCAACATGGATTCAGCTGCCTATGTCCACCTGGATATACTGGATCATTGTGTGAAACTGTCACCACACTTTCATTTGAGGGCAATGGCTTTCTATGGGTCACAAGTAGCCCACATACAACCAAGGACTCAGTTTGTAACATAGCCTTCAGGTTTCAGACTGTTCAGCCAACAGCACTTCTACTTTTCCAAGGGAACAGGGACACATTTGTAAAGATGGAGTTGCTAAGTGGCTACATTCACTTATCAATTCAAGTTCATAATCAGTCAAAAGTGCTTCTGTACATTTCCCACAACACCAGCGATGGAGAGTGGCATTCAGTGGAGGTAATATTTGCAGAGACCGTGACCCTTACCTTAGCCAGCAGCTCTTGTACAGAGAAATGCATCGCTAAAGCTCCTTCTCCATTTGAAAGGACTCAATCAATATGTGCTTTTCAAAACTCTTTTTTGGGTGGTTTACCTGTGGGATCAGCCAGCAATGCAGTCACTCTGCTTAACATCTATAATATCCCATCCACACCTTCGTTTGTAGGCTGTCTCCAAGACATTAAATTTGATTTGAATCCCATTACCTGGGAGAACATTTCATCTGGCTTGTCATTAAATGTCAAGGCAGGCTGCATGAGGAAGGATTGGTGTGAGAGTCAACCTTGTCAGAATAGAGGACGCTGCATCAACTTGTGGCTCAGCTACCAGTGTGACTGCTACAGGCCCTATGAAGGTCCCAACTGTCTGAGAGGTGAGAGGGGATAGGTGCCTAGGAGTGCTGTGCCTCAGAGCAGAGCAATCACTAGAACAGCCTTGCTATTACTGATATGAAGCATAATGATCCTCAGGACTTACACTGCTGTTTGCCCACTAATGAGAAAACAGAAGAGTGCAGGGCTGTGTGTTCATTTTGAGTGGATTCATAGGAGACCTGAGTTTCTCTCAGTCAGAAAAAATAAAACAATAAGCAAATAGCTCCTATTCAAATGGGTTTTCATCTTGCTGTTTGTACCTGCTCTTAGAATTTTACCATCAGTTTCATATCAGAAATTTGTTGTAAATCTCATTTGTAAAAGGCCTTTATTCACAAAACTAGTCAGTGCCACCTATTAGCATAGTCTCTTGTGCTTAGTAGAATCCCAGTAAATATTCACTTCCTCAATCTCCTTTCTATGCAATTCATACTTGCTCCAAAATCATGCTTAAGTTTAGCACTTTAACAGAACACTAATTTCATGCAAAGTGACAAAAACAAGTTTTGCCAGAACTGCATTGGAAAAAACAGATAGAGGTCTTACAGGGGGAAAGAAAGAAAGGAAGGAAGGAAGAGAGAGAGTCGGTGGGGATGGGGGGGAGTAAAGTAACAATAGTAAAACTTGGTAGATGCCATAAACAAGTTGATCTGATTTTTCTAGCAAATCATGGTTTGAAATAAATTTCAAAATCCTTTATTTCCAGCATCATGTCAAAAATTGCTGTTGATAGTGATCAATACATACCTGTTTCTTTTTATTATTATCATCATGCATTGAAAAAGTCTGAGAGGTAATTGTAACAGACCACTTTGAAGTTCAGCTGTAATTTACTCCAAGATTTTAGAGTAACTCCAAGTAGGACAACATCTGGTAAATAGTCTTCTCTGCTTTATATGAAATAAAATTAAAACCAGTCTTAGCCCATACCCTACTCCATGTTCAAATGGCTAAGAATTATTAGAAACTATTCACGGGTTTCCCCCTGCCCACAATATTCATTACAAATCATGGACCTGTTTGACAATGAGGAATGGCATCTACTCACTCTATGTAATATTTTAAACAGAATGGCAAGTTGTTTCGTGATTTTTTTTTTAAAGGGGAAATTATGCTGAGGCGATGGTTCACTTTTTGAAGAAAAATTTAATTGACCCAAGGCAATATTTTTAGTACATATACAAAATAACAAACAGATGCTGACTCACTTTGACTGACTTCCAGATGTAGTGACCTTCGAGGTTAATGCTGACCATGGCGATGCTCACTGTCCTAGCAGATAGATTCAAGAGATGCCAATCCAGTGGGCTCTGGTTTTCTTTAGTACATTTTTTTTCCAACTTGGAAAATTATGAACTTTTTAAGCCAAGTTCCTGATTATACTCCCTCTACTTCCCCCATATCCTTATATCCTTACACTATTTAAAACTGTTCAATCCCTGTGAGAATGTTTGGCTTCAAGAGATTATAACAAGTTCTGTAAAATCTTTTCTTTTTTGAATACTTGGGATAAGTTTAAGAAAAATTATATTTTTCTTATCACCTCTAGTCATAAAACTAAAATATTCTATATTGGCTGTTGTCTATGAGAAATGTTTTGTGTGGAGCATATTCCTTTTACAAAAGATGCTTAAATGCAGTAATTACACATCTTTTGGCAATTGTAAATGCTCTTAGAATTTTACCATTAGTTGAATATCAGAAATTTGTTGTAAATCTCATTTGTAAAAGAAATAATTTTTTGGAAAAAAAAGGACTTTCTTTGGTATGTGTGTATTCAAGAGGGAGGATAGGTACTAACAAGCAGAAAGACACAAACTTCACCCAAATCATGATTTTTGGAAAACATTTCCCAACCTTGTTACACACTGCAAGTATTAAGCAGACCTGATAGAGAATTTCATTGACTGACTAAACACAAAAAGCATAGGGATTTGTAATATCTTAAAGTCAATCTTTTAAAAATTTGCCTGAACTCTGAAGGGTTTCCCTAAGCTTAGACCCAAAACTGTCTGTAAGGTGATCCCAGCTTACCTTGGATCGGTTGTGTGTAAGAACACAGAGTTTCCAAGATATTCTTCAGAATAAATGCACCACCTATATCTTTCCTTTGGGAGAATATTTAATTTATAAAAACAATTTATGTTTATCTTCAATTATACACCTATACTTTGAGAATCTTATCCTTCTAGAATTACAAATTCACATCTATAGAAGAAATTTCATGCCATGGTTGGATTTGTTTGTTTGTTTGTTTTACATTATTGTGCTTGCCTAGTGTAGCGACCCAAAACTCTGCTTAAATACCTTCAGGAATGGTGAATTCACTCATTCCATCTTGCCAAAATTTTCCTGAACAGTTCTGTCCTTGTGTTTAAATGAAATGTGATTTCCCCAAAGCTTTCATTTATTGGTCAGGTTATAATTCCTGAAGATATGCTCATATAACTCTTAACACCTCTTCTTCCTAAGGATGCTTAAATACTTGAAGAAGAGCATCTAGAACTATCAAACTTTTCACATCATGCTACACATCCTAGTTTCTTCTAAAGTTTCCATATGGCATGATCTTCAGACATGTCGTCATCTGCTTCTTGGCGGTAAATCTGCTTGTCTCTCTTCTTTCTAAAATGTGGCAGATGTGCTTGATGATACAAGGTGTCACAGGACCTCAACCTCCCTTATTCTGGATAACATGCTTCTATGTTGCAGCCTAACATTAGACTGATGCTCTGCCACTTTTGTGGCACTTAACCTCACATGGGTTTCTCACTTGGAGTCACTGTCATTCACAATGTCATAGAATCCTATTTCTCTCCCAAAAACCTATGAGGCACTTTTTGATCTAAGCGCCTTTTATTTATTCTCATTAAATTTCATCTTGTGTTCCATCAATCATTAAAGCATGTCAAAATTTATTTTTCATCTGCATATGTTACCACTGATCTTCAGGACATATATCACAAACATGTATGAGAATTATCCCTTCCATTTCCACAGAGAAATCAGATTTGGCTTCAGGTATTTCTAAAATCTTGTAGCACATCATACATGCTGACTAACTGTATATGATTCTGAAGAATAGGATTACTAAAGAGTCAAGCTTCTCAAGGTGTATGCGGGGGAACAACTCTGTATTCTGTCTTTTAGTTGAGGTCTGCAAAATGATACTGCAGGGATCCTAGATTGATCAGCAGGGACCTCTGAGGTTGAATGATTTTGAATGTATCCTCAATCCTTAAGCTTCAAGAGCCAAATCTTCTTATTAAGCATTTTTATCGTATATGAAAGTGCTGCAGTGTATTCAGAGACGTTAACCTCTTCAAAGAGGTTATTTTATCTATCAGTACACTTTGAAAGCTATCTGTAGTTGCCTGGAGCAGGTAGTCTCCAAATGAAGATTCAAACTGCAATGTTCCATAGGAAATCAAGTCAGAGTTCTGAAAATATAGCCTATTATGCAGGAGGTCTTCAAACAGATGGCTGCCTAAGCAAGTTTCACTAAAGCTCAGCTGAACTAAAATACATCTAACTTTTGGCCAAACTTAGTTGAACCATATGATGACATTTAAACACTTCAGATGTGCTTTTCTTCTAGGACAGGGATGCAAAAACCCAAAGACAGCAATATTTTTAAGACAGTGCTCTTATTCAAGTTCAGCATTGATTTCTAGGTTGCAAGACGTAATGGGCATTTCTTAGTCTTCCTCTCACTTGACCTTTTAACAACAGCAAACACAGTTGAGTAACACATACTCCTTAGCAGGCTTACAGGGTATCATTCTAACTGGATTCTCTTATCTTACCGATTCCTCTTCTGTCATCCCCTTTGCCTCCAAATGTCTGGAACCGACAGGCTCAGTTCCTGTACCACTTCTTTTACTCTCTATATATTTACTTTTGTGATGGTACCATTCAGTCTTCTGTCTTTAAATCCTTCATGTGTGCTGAAAAATACCAAATTATTATGGTTATCCCAGAACATTTCCTCTGAATCTCTGTGGCAACTACCTAATGGTCATTTCCATGTAGATATCTAATAAGGCATCTTTAATTTTATGTGGACTCCCATTTTCCTCCCAAATCAATTCCTCCAGTTTTCTTCCCCATCATTACAAATGGAAATTCCAGGCTTCTAGTTGCTGGTCCAAAATCTTAAAGATGTACTTGGTTTAGAAAATTCTATTTGTTCTACTTTTAAAGTATTTTAAAACTCCTACGACTTCTCACCACCTCCTGATTAAAGGTATCATTATTCCTCTCTTGAATTACTGCAGTAATGTCCCTCTCTTTGGGTTTTTGCTCAAATATTACTTCTTAGAGAGTTCTTTCCTGATTATTCCATTTAAAATTACAATCCCATCCCTATTCTCAAATCTTCCCATTCTATTTCTCTATGACTTTTTTTATACCAAATGATCTCTAGTGTGCTGACATACTACACAGCCAACTTTCTTATCTATGCCATGTATGTTTCTCCCTACTAGTGTATAAATTTGATAAGGATAGGAATATTTGCTCCTACTACCTCACCGATGTTTTTAAATGTAGGTTTCATTTTTACACGTCTTGAGTTTTCTTGAGGTGGTGTGCATCACTGATATTGCCTCTTTTGCGCATTTCTAACTCCTTCAACCATAAGAAAGGCCTAAAGGAGTCAATATTCCTCTTTGCTCCCTTTTCTCTCTCCTTTTCTCCTCCCAAGCAGGACCACAGAAGGAAGAGTCTTCCTCTTCCTTTGATCCTCTGTCCTGCCTCATTATGTGGGGTATCATCCCAAAGAGTATTTACTAATCAAATTCTTGATTTTTGTCCTTTACAAAAAATAATTAGATTTAATAATCTGTTGGCTCCAGCATGCCTACAAATAGCAAAGATGAAGCCTGCCTGAACAATATGCTTACAAAACTCAAAATTCTTCCAAGATGGAATGCAATATAGTGTCTGACATTTCACCACTAAGCCCCAGCATTTTAGGGCAGTGAAGGGGAGATTCTTTAGCTTTTTCTCTTTTGTGATCGATGGCCTCAATTATGAACTACAGACCCAAATGCAGTTGTTTTCAGGATAAAGTAAACTCAGAATTACAGAAAATGAGGCCAAATTGCTAGTCTATTCAGTAAGTCTGTCCTGAACATAAAAAATGTGTGTGTGTATATGTGGATATAAAATTTTCCCCTTCTGTGCCTTCTTCCTTTTGAGTCTCAAGATGTTTCCTCTTTGTTTCTCCTCTTCTATTTTGACATCAAAGAGTATGTGGCAGGCAGATTTGGCCAGGATGACTCCACTGGATATGCTGTCTTTAATCTTGACAGGAGTTATGGACAGAACTTCAGCCTCTCCATGTTTGTCCGAACAAATCGACCGTCAGGCTTACTTCTAACTTTGAAAAACAGCACTTACCAGTATATTCGTGTCTGGCTAGAGCATGGAAGATTAGCACTGCTGACTCCAAGCTCTCCTAAATTCACAGTAGAATTTGTTCTTAGTGATGGAAATGTCCACTTAGTGACTTTGAAAATCAAGCCAAATAAAATTGAATTGTATCAATCTTCACAAAACCTTGGATTTATTTCTGCTCCCACATGGAAAATCCAGAGAGGAGATGTCATCTACATTGGTGGCCTGCCTGACAAGAAAGAGACTCAAATTTATGGTGGCTTCTTCAAAGGCTGTATCCAAGATGTAAGATTAAATAACCAAAATCTGGAATTCTTTCCAAATTCCACAAACAGTCCATCCCACAGTCCAATTCTTGTCAATGTGACTCAAGGCTGTCTGGGAGACAACATCTGCAAGGTAGGGTTATTTGTACCAACTATGCACATATTGTATGCTAAATTTTTATTTTATTAACATGCAATTTAATAAAACCATCCTTTGTACCTGACAACAATGTTACTGGCCCATCAGAGATAGACCTGTTAAATCTTTGTGTTCCCAGCAGACTGGGTGATTTCTGATAAATTTTAGTGGACTTATTGGCATCATGATACATTTAACAACGATAATAACTTCAGTTACATGCTTCTCCTACCCCACATCAATCAAATTTCTTAAGAATACTAGTATTCTATTTCTTAAACTCTTAATAGTACTCCATTGGCTTAACTGAACTAACTCTTTTTGAAAGACCCAATTAACTTTATCTTAAATACCAAGCGATTGTTGTTTTGAACTTTTATTACATCAACAAGAAAAAAAAATCTGAGAGGTTTTTGCTTGAATTTGAATTCCTCTGAAATATAATTTCTCAGAACCCATGCTTTATATTATGTACTTTATATACTCTTCTAAGGGCTACATTAACTATATGAAATTGTCAGCTCTGCATGAGCTTTCAGAGGAAAAGAAGGAAGAATATTGATGTGTGTTAACATGTTTACTGAGCTCCAACTATGGTCACAGACTAGCCTTAGTCCTAAATATACACAGAGGAATCATTATGAGTTTACTATAGGAGCACTTCTAATGGGCCAGGCACTATTTTACATAGATTAATCCATTAATTCTGTTGAAGGATTACTGTATAAAACAGACATTGTTATCCTCTTTTATACTACTTAAAAAGAAACTAAATTTTAGGTAACAAACTGAGGGTGTGGTTCAGTGGTAGAATATGTGCTTTGCATGGGTGAGGGCCTGGGTTCAACCCTCGGCCCTAAAAAAAAATAAAAAAATAAAAATAAAATTAAAGTTATGTAATTATCCTGAATGGTTTGCTAATAGTTGACCTGGGATACACACAAAGTTTAAAAGTTTTCTTTTAAAATATTTTTATTTTGAATACTTTGTGAGTGGACTTGTAAGACCTGAATTAAGAACAATGAGTCTCTGATTCAGAGGCAGAGAAAATGGTGAGGGAGGACATTGAATTGGGACCCAGAGGATCTAGATATCAAGCTTCATTTTCATTTCCACAACAGAAAGGCCCTCATCTGTAAAAACAAAAGTAATAATCCGTATTGCAAATAATTACTGCATGTGAAAATATCAGGTAATTTGTAAATTACAGAAAGCATTGTTACATTTCAACAAGCATCCTAGTATTATACATTGATTTTATATTTCCTCTTTTTTTCCCATTCTCTCTTTCCCCCTTTCTCTTTCCCCATCCCCTCTCTCTACTGCTGTCTTTCCTTGCTGCTCTTTTAGAAAGCAGTGGGCAATGGTAACATTCAGTTTTATTCCATATACTTAAAATCCATATTAAATGTTTAAAATCTGAAGATATAGGGAAATTGGCATTTTAAAATAACAGATATATGTGGTCACCTTTAACATTTCCACATCTAGTTGCCAATGCTTTTGATGATTTTTTTTTCCCCCTGCTCAGACCAATCCCTGTCACAACGGAGGCATTTGTTATTCCCTGTGGGATGACTTCTCCTGCTCCTGCCCTGCAAATACAGCTGGGAAAGCCTGTGAAGAAGTTCGGTGGTGTGAACTCAGCCCCTGCCCTCCCAGTGCCCAGTGCCGGTTGGTGCCCAAAGGATTCGAATGTACGTAGAGCTCAGGACTGTTATCATTCCAATTAATTTGGCACGTTTAAGTTGTTCTGATAGGAAACAAAAAATAAATAAATAAACAGACATGGTCAACTTATTAAATAAGTGGATGGTTGTTTACCCCTCTGTGAGTAGTATAATTAACCTGATATGAGTAGTATAAAAATCCAGATTAGTCACTTGTTTTATCCTTCACTGTGTGTCTGGATGGGAAATGGAGAATGTAGCAATACCAAATCTGATCCTTGGTCATTTAAAGCTGATGTCTGCAGAGTTAACCAGGTGATACTGTCCTTCCTCATTACTAGAAATACAGAGTATAAGCGCTGGGTTAGCTCACTGCCGTTTATTAACTTTAAACTTCAGGTAATCCACATGATCTCCATGATCTAAAGCCTCCTTGCCTGTAAAATAGGGGTACCGAAATCTATAGGTTTCTTTGTGATGATTGCATATTCCTATGTATATAATCAAACACATTAGGTACCCGGTGATGCTGGCCAGGACTGCATCCCTTTATGTGAAAGGTTCCCCTGCCCCTTTCAGTGCTACAGAGCACAATTTCTCAAATGCTAATGATTTGAACACCACACTTAGGATTTTTTGACGTATTCACAAAGTAACCACACTGTCATTCCTGTGCTGTCTCCTCTCTTACTTCAAATAACGCACAGCCCAAGTTATAGCCCATCCTCTGTTTAAATTGAATTTGAATCCCTTCCCCTATTCGAAGATTCTGCTGCTAAAGATTTTGCTCCTAGAATTTCTCTCTTACTCTTCAACATCAACAGTTTTTCCATTAGCAGATAAATATTCCATCAAATTTCCTCATTACAAATATATCCCATGACCTCCCTTCCCCAAATTCCCACCCGCGACTTTCCGTTTCTCTGCTTCCTTTTCCAGTGAGAAAAACAAAACAAACCTCTGAAGATTTGTGCTCAAGATACTTCTGCTGTCTCACTCCAATCTTTTACCTCATCACTCAGGCCCCATAAACCACCTTTTTCTCTTCCACTGTCTCAGCCCAGAGCTTCACAGTTTCTCTCCACCATTTCATTCAAATTTGGACACCAGGGTCTTCCTACCTGGTTTTTTTCTTTATATCTCTTACTATTCCTTGATATTTTTGTGGGGCGTGGTACTGAACCCAGGGGCACTTTGTGACTGAGCAACAGCCCTTTTTATATTTTATTTTGAAAGAAGTTCTCACTAAATTGTTTAGGGCCTCCATAAGTTGCTAAGGCTGACCTCAAACTTGCAATCCCCCTGCCTCAGCATTCAGAGCCACTGGGATCACAGGTGTGCATCACTGCACCTGACCTGTTCTTTACTATTTTGACATACATGTATGTGTTTATTTGTTTATCACCTCTTTACTCAGTAGAAAATAAGTTTCACAGTGCAAGAAATTTTTCTATGTAGTTATTTAAGTCACTGTTGGCCCTTAGAATAGTGCCAAGCATCATAGTAGGTTGTCAATAAATATTTGTTAAATGAGTAAATTTACTTATTTTTCTGCAAATCAGTTATTCACTTAACTGCTCTACATATTAAGTATATTATCTTCTTACAATAAAAATATACATAAAATATATTTTAAAACACTGCACTAAAATAATGGAATGGAACTAGATGTAAGAGTGGCTGAAGGTCAGTTCCGACATCCTATTTAGACTGTGCCTGAAATAACTGAAGACAAGAGAATACATTAATTTTTATGTTTCTATATTTTAAAAGATCTATATGATACATGGTAAACTGTAGATATACTTGAGGAAATTTTCTAGAGGAATGTGTATATTTATAACTCATTTTTAGGAAATACCTACTACATATAAATAGAAGCATGATGAGTTGATAGAAAGTAAAATGGTTTCTAACCAACACAGAACTTTATGGATTTATTTATTTATTTATTTACGCAGAGTTGGTGATTAGATCCAGCAGGGCCTTGTGCATACTAGTCAAGTCTGTACTACTGAACGACACCCTAGCTCAGCACAGATTTTAAGTGCAACATTTTCCATTCTTCTATCTCTGACATGCTTGTTGAAAATGAACTATTAATTGTATTATTACTCTTTTGATAGAAATATTAATATTGTTAGTCCCAGCTGTGTTCTACAACAGCATTCAAGTCACTTGGAACATTTCCACAGGGGGGAATAAAAAGAGTAGGATTTCAAAAATCAGTGGCAGCCCAAGAACAGTGTACACTCAAAGCAGTTTGGACTGGCCCACATGTGTATCAGAAACAAGTAAATCTTTACTGCTGTACCATGACTGCTACAAAAGGAAAAGAAGCTGGCTCCAACATCCCCCCCAAATCCCAACAGCCTTCTTTTTGAAGTATGACTTAGTGCAGACAGAAATGGAAATCAATAGTAGGTTTACAATAGGAATTGCATATCAGTTTCATAATTGACAGATATGAACCATGGATTCATTTTTGCTTCTTTGTATACTTTTAATTTTGTGTGATCTTACGACCCTATTGTATTTTCTTTTTTTTTATTGGTTGTTCAAAACATTACAAAGCTCTTGACATATCATGTTTCATACATTAGATTCAAGTGGGTTATGAACTCCCATTTTTACCCCAAATACAGATTGCAGAATCACATGGGTTACACATCCACATTTTTACATAATGCCCTATTAGTAACTGTTGTATTCTGCTACCTTTCTTTTCAAATAAAATATATTGAGAAGATTAAGTCTAACAGAACAACATACTCTTGAGAGCACAGCTCATACATTACTTTGAGTTTGCCTTTAGATCTTTAATCATCTGTATCTCTGCGTCCCTCTGGGATTAAACCAAGATTTAAAAATTTACAACTCACCTTAGATACAGGTGTGTTTATTATGGCAAAGTACCCCAAAGAAAAGTCAAAGGAAAAATGTTATGTGCATTGTGGTTTTTACCTATATCTCAAGAAGTGATTTCAGAGATTTGTTATTTTAACATTTACTTTAAAATATATGAGTCACTCATTGCTCTTTCCCTCCTTAATTCTTACCCAAAAACCTGGTTGGGGAAAAAACAAAACAAAAACCTCAACAATCAAAAACAATGAGATTTTAATTTAGTCAAATAATAAAACTTGAATGATACACTTTAATTTTCTCTTGCTGTGATTTCTAATCATGTCATTTCCAAAATAAAGGAGAAAGTTATTTTCATCGATTACTCATTTACTGAAGTTTCCTGAGCACCTATTGTGTGTTAGGCAAAGTTCCAGACAGAGATCTCTGATCTCAAAAAGCCCGTGCTCTAGGACAGAAAGACAGTCAAGGAACAAGTATACAAATTTAAACTTCAAATGTGATAGGAGTTATGAAGAAAATAAAACCCAGAGTGAAACGGAGAATGGACACAGGGCAGAAGTTGTTTTAAATTGGATAGTCAGGGAAGGCTCCCCAGAGGAGGTGACATTTGAGCAGCTATCAACGCTGAGGAGGAGCCAGGTACAGGAAGGCCTAGGAGAGAATATTCCAGGTTTAAGTAGTAGCAAGTATAAAAGATCTGAGTCGGGGAGAAGCTTGCTGTCTTCAGTGAGTGGCAGGATACGTGAATAAGGAAGAGAGTGGAAGGAATTGGAATTGGAACGTTAAGCAGGGGTCATCTCACATAAACTCCTGTGAGGGGCTGGGGTTGTGGCTCAGCGGTAGAGCACTCACCAAGCATGTGCGAGGTGCTGGGTTCAATCCTCAGCACCATATTAAAAAAAACTCCTGTGAGTATTGTTTAAGACTTTGGCTTTCTAGATATGATGGCAACTAATAGAGGTCTTGGGCTAAGGAGTGGTGGTTAGATTCACCCTCAGCATCACAGAAATAGGGACCCTAATAAGTAATTAGTCTATATGAAAGATGACAGTAGTTGGGTATATTTCCTCACACATTGGGTAATGACAGTGTTTTAAGGTCAATTGCTACTGAAAAGTGGGAAAAAAATGAGAATGGCAAATTGACTACTGGATTGGATAACGTGGAGGTCACTGTGACCTTAACAAGAGTGGTTTAAGTGAGGTGATTGGAACAGAACCTGAGTAGCATGTACTAAAGAGAAAATGGTAGATAAGAAAGCGGAGACCTTGAGAATAGGAAAGTGTTAGAAGAGTATTGATGGGGAGAGGTGCTGGGAGCCATTAGCCAAGTAGGTATGACAATTTCCTTGCCAGCGTACCCCATGTTGCTGACATGTTGCAGCGACATTGGCTCGTGATTGTGTGCCCAGCCAGACTGCGGCATTTGTGCCCAGCCAGACTGCGGCAGAGAGGAACAGCAAAGGAAACAGCAGGGTGGGGGAGTCGGGACAATGCTTCGGGGCCTCATGCTTGTGTCTATTTTTTAATATTGAAACAACTGCCGCATATTTGTAAAGACAGGAAACGAAAAGGGAAGGAAAATAATGAGCATGATAGAAAAGAGGGTGCATGTCTGAACAGTACCTAAAAGGGATGAAAATAAACGGGACCCAACACATTGCTGACCAGGTTGGCCTTGCACAAGGACATGGAAGGTGCATCCATTTTAACAGGATGAGAAGCAGAGTGCATCTTGGGACTGTGAAGTTTCAGACTTGGTGGAAAGCTGGGGCACTTTTTCTCCTATTTGCTCAAGAATGCAAACAGGAGACTGAGATAAGTTCAAACATTTCCAGAGAACAAGTTGTGATTTAATAATCTTATAGATTTAACAATTTTTTAATAGAAAAATGCAATGATTACCCCAAACTGCTCTGCTTCCAGATAGTACTTGGACATGATGAGGTAAAGGTGGTTGATTTGGCTGTATGTTTTTTTTTTTTTTTTCCCAGTCACACAAAAATATTTGGTGATAGGTAAAGAGTGGGTAGCTTGGCACGTAATTGGATTTTTGCCAGGTTAGGTAACCCAGTCATTGGGAATGCCCATTTCTGTGTGTTGTGGATGGGGGTCCTAGGGACTGAACCCAGGGGTGCTCTAACACTAAGCTACATTCCTAGTTTTTTAAAATTTTACTTTGAGACAGGGTCTTGCTAAATTGCCTGAGCTGGCCTTGAATTTGTGATCCTCCTTCCTCAACCTCCTGAGTAGCTGGGATTATAGGTGTGTACCTTTGCACCCAGCAAGAATATACCTTTTCCTCCCTGTTGGTCAGCTTCATCAGAAACCAGTCTCTACTGTTGGACTTCTGTGTTGCTATAGCTGGATTTGTAATTTTTTGGTGCTCAATTTTTTTTTGCGTATGAAATGGATCATCAGTGCCTTATTTTGGGGATCTAGCAGAAAATAAAAATTGGCATGCATTAGAATATCAATGAAAAAGAAAAGTCTGGTTTGTGTTTTGGTATTAGACCATCCATGTTTTATGTTGTGGCTTTATTATCTATTAATTAATAAACATAAGCAGACTGCTTAGCTTCTGTTAGTCTCTATTCCTTCTTTTGTAAAATGAAGATAATAACCACACTTGTAGTCAAGAGTTTTGTATTAGAAATAATTTAAAAAAAAAACTAGCACAGTACCCACCATGTCAAACAATCAACACATGATATCATTAACGTGATGATCACTACTATTAATGCAGGTAATTAAGCACATATAATAGACTTAATAAAGTTGCTAATTAGTGTTGCCTTCTCTCTTTAGGTATTGCAAATGCTGTTTTTAACGGACAAAGCAGTGAAATATTGTTCAGAAGTAATGGGAACATTACCAGAGAACTCACCAATATCACATTTGGATTCAGAACAAAAGATGCAAATGTGATAATATTGCACGCAGAAAAAGAGCCTGAGTTTCTTAATATTAGCATTCAAGAGTCCAGATTATTCTTTCAATTGCGAAGTGGCAACAGCTTTTATGTGCTGCATCTTACAAGTCTGCAGTCAGTGAATGATGGCACATGGCACCAAGTGGCTCTTTCCATGATAGACCCACTGGCCCAGGCCTCCAGGTGGCAAATGGAAGTGGACCATCAAACACCTTTCGTGACCAGTGCAATCGCTACTGGAAACCTTAACTTTTTGAAGGACAATACAGACATTTATGTGGGTGACAGAGCTCTTAACAATAGGAAGGGCCTGCAAGGGTGTCTAAGTACAATAGAAATAGGAGGCATTTATCTCTCTTACTTTGAAAATACTCATGGTTTCACTAATAAACCTCAGGAAGAGCAGTTTCTTAAAATCTCTACAAATTCAGTGGCTACTGGCTGTTTACAATTAAATGTCTGCAACTCCAACCCCTGTTTGCATGGAGGAAATTGTGAAGACATCTATAGCTCTTATCACTGTTCCTGTCCCTTGGGATGGTCAGGGACACACTGTGAACTCAACATTGATGAATGCTTTTCAGACCCCTGTATCCATGGCAACTGCTCTGACAGAGTCGCAGCCTACCACTGCAGGTGTGAGCCTGGATACACTGGTGTGAACTGTGAAATGGAGATAGACAATTGCCAGAATCACCAATGTGCAAATGGGGCCACCTGCATTAGTGAGACTAATGGCTATTCTTGCCTCTGTTTTGGAAATTTTACGGGAAAATTTTGCAGGTGAGCATAATGTCCATGAAGCTTGGTTCTTATCAAACTGGAAGCTCTCTTCTCAAGGCCTATGTATACACTATGCTGAATGGGAAAGGTTTTGGTCATTTCAACACAATTTGATCATCTAAAGATGGGATTTATCTTGATGGGATGACGTACAAGTATTAATGGTAGTGTTTCAACCAGACAGTGTTTCCTCAGCCACCTTTGTTAGAATATATCTCATGAACTATAACTCCAGGATCTGGCAGCCCAAGGTCATAAGAAACAAATATATTTACAATAAATACAAAAACTGAGTTTCAGTGTTGTAAAGGAAGGCAGGATGTCTAATAACAAAATAATGCCCTGGTTTATTTCAGCCAGATAAATCTCATGAAATCTTGAAAAGGCTACATTATAATTTCAAAAAAGTGAATTTATGATTTTCAAACGTAAAATGAACATGTTTTGATGATTTTATTAGTTATTAATTAATGCATAAACTAGGGAGATATTAAAAGCAGTCCAAAGGACAATCTACAGAATATAGATGTATACAAAAAATAGAAAGGATGAAGTGGATCTACTAATAAATGAAAAACTGTTTACTATTCCACAGGAGAACAAAATTAGGATTTGAGATAATCTTTTCTGCAGTATGACAATCAATTGTATCGCTACAAATTCACTTGCATGTCAATAGCAAGATTCTTTTGTATTTATATAACTTTCTACAATTTACAGAATTGTAATATTGCTTAGAAAGAAGATCTTAAGACATCTACTACTATAGAATCAGATTGTTCTAGAGATCCTTTATATAACATCCAGTATTCCACTGAAGATAATCCACTGATCTCTTGCCCATTTCAAAGTATTTCTCAATTTTTTTTCTGAAACTACAAAAGCAGTATTTTAGTTCTAGCAACCACTTCTATTTCATGCTGTGTAAACAAAGATAAGAAAGAATATTTTCCTACTAAGTCGCATTGCTTCAATGTTTCCATGTAAGTAGAAGCCATTATTGTTTTTACAACTTATACTGCTTTAAATTTACTAAATAATTGAGTCATTATGGGTAGGTGAGAGGGTTATTATTAACAAGTAATACATTCCAGGACTTTGGCAAGAACACCTGGAGTGGGTTGGCAGCCTGTAGACATTGGAGACATTACACTAATTCAGAGCTGGTACCTTAATTACATGAATCTTATAGCAGACATAACATGTATCCATCTCCATAAAATGTGAATGTATCTTCATAACATTTATTGTTGTTCAGAGCATATGATAGCAAAGTGATAGTTGCTAAGTGTTAACATGCCAGTTAGATGTTACTTCCATGAGCTCATCCACTTATTTGCCATTATTCAGGATCAAAATCAGTAGCATTCCACAGTGAATTTGGGTAAGTAAAGTACATTTGCCCTAGTAACTATTCTCTAGAACTTTTTTTTTGCCTAATTCATCAAAGTCAAGTTCTTAATGTATAAACTTTTCAAAAGTACCTTCTAATGAGATTCAGAAATTGTTTATTAAACCTAAGATGTATACAGAGCTTCATATTTGCATTGCTAATTGACTTCTTTCAAAGCTGGTTGACATCTTTGACTCTTTTGAAATGTTCTTATATCTTCTTTTAAAAATAGAAGTGATTAGCTCTTGTGATAAGAGACATTCTTACTCTCATCTAGTCTAGTTTCTCCACATTAGCTACAACAAACATGACAGGACAAAAAGGAATTCATTTTACAGTTCCTGAATATTTATTCTGTATCCGATACCAAGCACATACACAGTGGGCCAAAGGACCTAAGCAACATTCTTAAAATCTTTTTGAACATCAGTCCTTTGAAACTAGGGTTTTGTCTAGCCATGATGTTCAGCTCAGCTTTTAACAATTTGCTCTGCCTTTTATAAGAATTCTTTAGCATGTGCAGTTTTGTTGTTGCAGAAGAGAGTTGCAGGCTGAATTCACATGCAGTTGCCATGAGTGCTATATACAAACCTCCTGGACAGCACTTGGCTTGCATTCTGCAAAGCTATGAATTATTGGAGAGAGAGCAGCAAGTCTTGGCAGGGCAACTGGAGTTCAGCTCTGAAAGCCAACAGAGAAATCGCATGAGTGTTTGGGTACCACAGTGCTGTCCTTGCTTTCCTGGCCTTTATAGAGATGCAATTTTCCTATGGCCTTTGTTGATTTATTAGCAGAGCGGCGGCAAATCTAACTGTAGCAAGTTCCTTTCCAACTCTGAATTTATTGCCACCCCATGGCATAGATCTTATCTCCCAAATAAAAACTGTGTAGAATAGAAGATGGATAGCCAGGCTTGCTACAGTACCCTCCAGCAGGAATTTTTTACTGGAGAAAGTGGTGCTGGTATAATGCAGCACAATTCAGCACTTAGAAAGCCTCCAGACTGAGAACCTAATTAGCTTGACATTGACTGCATATGTGAACTTTTCAAAAAAGTTTTCTTGAATGAAATGAACAAGATGAACAGCTGTGGCTGTTACTTTTCTCTTTCTAGATACAGAAGATTACCCTCAACAGTCTGTGGGAATGAACAGACAAATCTCACTTGCTACAATGGAGGCAACTGCACAGAGTTTCAGACTGAATTAAAATGTATGTGCCGGCCAGGTTTTACCGGAGAACGGTAAGTCACCTTAGAACATTCTGGAAGAGAAATCTGGGCTAAAGAACAGTGGGATTACTTGGAGTTCATTTTCTCCTCTAATTTTTCATCTTAGTTCCCATAGGAATATATATGCTGAAATATAGGTCTAAGGCAGAGTTGAGCAATAAAAAAGAAGTAAATTTACAGTGTAGGTCAAAGTAGAGAACATTTTATTAGCCAGGACTTCGAATAGGGAAATATGTTTTATTAAAAATGTATAATGTGCTATTTTTTTTTCTTATAAGTACTTCTGGATTCATATTTTTCCCACTAACTCTAATACACAATGCAAATAAGGTTGCTATTGAAGTAAAATGACATGCACCTGAAAGATTGCCTCTTAGAATTACCTACAATCCAAAAAGTATGTACACCTTACCCATCTGATTTGGTCTTTCCCAGAGCAATGCCTTCAGTTCTTCCTCACTTTCTACAGGGACAGTCACTGACTTTAGACAATCTGTGACCTGCTGAAAATGCAGGGAAATTTGCATATGTGTGTGATTGGCTGAGGGTGAGATCAAGGGAGAAAGCGAGTTCTTCATAACATGTATCAGATTCCCAAAGGAACCTGTGTCCCCCAAGCAGTTGCAAACCAGAACTCTATAGGTTATCAACATTATAGAGACCTAATAGTCAAGCATTTGTTTATCATTGTGTCATGCACCTTATGATATCATCCCTCATTCTTAGAGCTCTCCAAGGTAGGTTTTACTGTTCTTATTTTGCATATGCGCAAGGTAAGACTGACAGGTTAAGTGACAGATCAGGTGTCCATTCAAATGTATGTAGCAGTAAGGTTGAGCTGCCTTGGAAGCCTCTATTCATTTATTGGATATGTTGGCATAATTGTATGAATAAATTTTTGCTCACCACAATTAAAAGAAAATGGAAAAATTACTCCTCCATCTCATGTTCCATCCAGGATAAGGTCTTTCTGGTCAAACTTTCTACACAGAGCAACATAACTAACAAAGATTGTAACTGAAATTTCCCAGAAGAACAGATAGTAAAATAATAGGAATGTCCCTGCTCCAATTACACTTTGGATTAATTTGAATTTTCAGTTTCTCAGCTGACTCTTTTGGCATCACACAGATGCAGCTCTTTTGCCATTTTTACAAAACAAACAGGGAGCATATTACCCTTCAGAATGTTCTAGGTGGCATAGGCAGTCCAAGTGTATAGGTGTGGAAAGAGATAGACTAAAGTCACACTTTACATTTCACAAATCTATTTCATGCAATTATTAATTCAGAAATGGTCCAGATGATTTCCAATTCCATATGTCTTCTAAAAGGTTTATTTATTTATTTTTTCAAAATTATTTCCTTGTCCTAAATTTTGAAAAACTGCCTTAAGTGCTGATCACTTCCTGGCCTAATTCCACCACTTCTGTTGATGTCACAATGCACAGAGCTCACCTGAAATCTTGGATTATTTTTCTGTTACACCTTGCCCCTATGTACAACAAATATTGACCTCTCCTCTTAAATGTATTTATTTATTTTTAAATTATATTTTGCATTGAAATTTAAGTTGTTGATTTGAAATATGAAAAAGAAAGCTCATAATTTTCCTTTCTCTCTGAATAAACTTCTCATCTGGATAAAGTTGTCTGGCACAACATGATTTCTAAAATAGCAAATCTCAGGTAGATTCAGTACTTTCAAAGACTTAATTCATCATTAGTTAATTCTTTGGATACCAGTGGATTTATTTAGACTTTCCATCTATAAATTCTTTGAATGAAAGCTTCAGTGTTGCTTGTTATACATGTGTATGTGTTATTCACTGTTTAGCTCAAAATATAAATAGGTGAGAAAGAGTAGCTAGAGGAAGTCTAGAAAAGTTGGGACAATCTCCCAAGGACTAGGGAAATGAGACTTTTGGGACATCCAAGGATATTGAAGAGCTGCCCTCTAATACACTGACTTCTCTCTTGCCTGGAGACACCTCCAACTTTATAGTGTCATTCTGGCAGGATGGATGATGGATGATGTGAACATGTTGGCCCACCCAGGACAGAGAGTGCTTGGCAAGCTTCTGTGAATTGTCAAGTTTTGCTCAGATCTAATCAGAAAAGACTCCTTCCAGCCCAGTAGGTTAAGCCAAAAGAGGAAAACAAAATGTCTCAGCTATGCTTGGTATTCAATGGGATAAAGAACTGTTTTTCTTGGAAGAAATCTTCATTTTTCTATACCGTGGGTTGATTACATGGAAGTTCTATGTTTTGGAAGGTAGAGGACATTAAAAATTGTTTACATCAAACTTCAACATTATAAGCTGCTCTGCTGTAATTCTTGAAGCTGAGATTTTATATGAATTTCCTACAATAATTCAGATGTTTCAGTCATTGCTTTATTTGAAGGCCTGAGCAGTGTTTGGCACATGATAAAATCTACTGAATGACTGAATGAGTAGTTGGTGAATTCATCAATGAGTATAAATAAGAACAAGTTGCTGACCATAGGTAACAATAATGTACTGTATATTTCAAAAACCTAGATGAAAGGAATTTGAAAGTTTTTATCAGAAAGAGATGAATCATGTTTGAGGAGAGAGAGAAGTTTAACCTAACTTAAACATACAATGTACACATGTATCAAATACCATGAATACACACAATTTTTATGGTTTTATATTATCAGTTAAAATAATTAAAAGTCAAAAATGTTGGTGGAGAATAAGGTAAATAAAAAGGAGAAGGAGGAGGAGGAAGAAGAAGAGGGGGAGGAGGAAGAGGGGGGTGAAGAAGAATAGTAGTAGTAGTAGTGATGGTGTCCAGGGAAGAGGAAAATTTCAATTTACTTTAGAATTGATGTTGAAATTTGTTTTGAAAAATTTGCCTTTGAAAGGCATTTTATTGGATCAACTAAAATTATGATTAGCTTTTGAAACAGATTTATTAGCAAGTAAAATAATCTAATTACCCACTTTTTGCTCAAATTTAAAAAAAAAATGGATTTTCAGTGTAATTTAAAATCTCTCAGAATTCACTGTTTTGTTGTGTCTGTTGGGTGGCTCACCTGAGGGTGCCGGTGTACTAGCATCCTGACAGCTTAAATGTAGGTCTTATCTGCAGACTCTAGGCTGGCAAAGTGCAGCCTCACCTCATGACTTCTAAGTGCACCTAATAAACCGAGCATTTATAAGGTGGCAAACCCACTAATGCTCTTAAGGGAGAAACTGTTCTATGCACGGCCCGTGTTCCCTTGGTTTCTAAATAGTCACACCTGTTTTCCCATTCTAATTAATCCAGCGTGTGCGTTTGTGTGCCCCCACATGTGTGCACAGATAATTTCTATTAAAACCACAACTGGCCGAAGGAGTTTGAAGGAACATTTCCCATATTATCAAATATATATATAAATTGTGTGGGAATTGGCAGATAAGATGGTGCGGTCCTGGGTAGATGAGGCGAACTGTTTCGTTCTCCATTTCACAGCCCATTTATTAAACCGGGCCCTGAGTCTCTGCTGTTTCTGTTTATTTTCAAAGGTGTGAAAAGGACATTGATGAGTGCGCCTCCAATCCCTGCTTCAACGGAGGCCTGTGCCAGGACCTACTCGACAAATTCCAGTGCCTCTGCGATGTCGCCTTCGCTGGGGAGCGCTGCGAGCTGGACGTAAGCGGCCTGTCCTTTTATGTGTCCCTCTTACTGTGGCAGAACCTCTTTCAGCTTCTTTCCTACCTCATTCTGCGCATGAACGATGAGCCGGTTGTGGAGTGGGGCGAACAGGAAGATTACTAGCCCTCATTTCAACATTCCCCAGTGTAAAAGCCCTGGAGTTTCAGGACATGCCTTGATTCACTTTAGACCTCTAAATAAGAAAAAAAAAATTTTTTTAAGTAAAAACCATCTTGCAAATGGAAATAAATTCAAGGCCTATATTAAGCATATCACAAGCACTTTGTGTCTGTATAAAATATTTTCCTATCCTAGCTTTAAGAAATGAAGAAAAAGTCTTAACACAAGTAGAAGTATTGACTGTATGTATTACAAATAAATATGTTATCATTTTTTAATACTTCCATATTTGAATGGTTTAAGAAACCATTTTCTCCCCACTCCATTTTTTTTTACAGACATACTTTCCTCCTGTCAGTTCCTCTATTCACTATAATTCTATTTTCACATATGTTCTTTATTCTCATCTATTATTTATGACACAAAAATTTGAAAACTACTCTAAACTGTTTTATATCATGTATGTTTTCATTCAAAGCCATTCAAATGAATTGTTTCCAGTTCTCTGATAAGTGATAAATGTATAAAGGAAAAGCAGAGAATTATATCCCTAAAATTATATAAAGAGAATGCTCTGGTATCAATATTTAAATTATACTTTGCTAGTGTAATTTCTGATTTTTAAGACCTTCTCTTTTACCATAAAATAACAGATAACATTTTCTCTTTTTTTTGCAATACTTTCCCTTTTATCCATGCAAAAATTGATTGTTGATAAATTTATGCATTAGTTGGCTTTTCTATCAAGTTTTCACTGACATTTTATCACTTATGCTAAATATATTTGTGTACATATATCTGTCCAAAGGAGGCTTTGTTTGTGTTCATTGAAAGGGAAAAATACTGGATTTTATGAATTAATTCAGAACACAAGTAAAATAACAATAATCTACTAAATGTCATTTTGTGACTGTGTCAATGTCTTTGGGAGCTTCCCTGGTTTGAATATGTAAGCATAATTTATTCACTGAATGATATCCAATCTTCTAATTATTTTAAGAACGTTGTTTTTCTCTGGAAATGACCAAGGTAAACCTAAATATATGTTCAGACAATCAGGAGGACAAAATAGTGTGATCTAAAAGCAAAGAAAACACATTACATTTTATTTTACAATAGTAATTGAATATTTATGCAGCAAATATTTGATGGAGTACCAGCGATCACTTCATACCAAAAGTATCTAATTTTGAAATCAATTCTTTATACACATCCATTTCCTTCACATCCCAGATTTTTTGGCAAGAGACATGGGGAAAGCTTTCCCCCAACATTTGCATTTCTAAATATTTGCAATAAACAGTAGATAATATATAGCTGAAGACCATACACGTAGTTTTCACATTTACTCCCTTCTAGACATATCTGTAATTATAAACTCATAGGCCATTCCAAATGTAATTTTTTTTCCTACCAAAAATATATCTAAGAAATATTAACTCACAATCTCTTTGTGCAATTCTGAAGCCTCTATTGTCACTGTAATTGTCAACTGCTTTCTGTTTTCCAAATGTGTTCTTGTCATGCAATATCTGACTTTAAAAACGTACTATCTTTTCTCTTTATTTTTCTGTAGTTTCAACTGTGTTGTGTGTGACTATGGCTTTTACACATTTGCATAGAAAAATAAAACCTTTTCTCCTGCACCTTCTATTTCTCACCCTCTGATGAGACTGTCTTTGTTTTCTTTTACTGTGCCTTGCATGGTAAGATATCCACAAGGCAGGCCCATGTGTGCAAACGTGCATGCGTACACACATAATCCACATAAGGAACACAGAAGCACTAGTCCCAATCTCCTGGATCATGATCTCTTTCTCCACCTGTCCCTGCAAATAAACACTGTGGCATCAAGGTCAAGTCCATGTACTTTCCCTCTCTGGCAAGTAATCATCTAGTTGGCAATCTATTACTGATTGCAACCCTAATTGTTCTGACTATTGATTTATATTGTCCCTGATAAACCTAGCCTTAGTTCAACCTAGCTTTTAGGAGGACACATCTCACCTAAGTAACAGAAGTTCTCAAACACTACTCTGGACCAAACTTCTAAAATATAGCCTGCATTTATCTGCATAAAAACTAATTTTATTTTCCTCATTTTTCAGATTTAACATCTGAACTAAGTAAAAGTATGTTTCAATACTTGGGCCACACCTCCTCCTTTGTATGTGTGTGTGTGTGCATAGTGATTGGGTTTTGTTACTCTCTATTTTGAATTAAAGAGAAAAAGAATAGGCAAATTTGGAGAAATTGGTATTTTGGTAACCAGGAGAGACAACAAAATCTAATTCAACTTTTGGCACAGCTTATTCTGTGCCAAAAACTGTGATAAGCCATTTTTAAATACATGATTTTTTAAAAACCATGTTTTTTTTTTAACACAAGGTCAATCAAAATCTCTCACCTTATAAACTCTTCACTAAGTTTTGCTGAAAGATCCTTTTGCAATGTGTGGGTTTGAGATAGTAGCTATTCAGCTGTGATTTTTTAATGTTTAATTGAAACTTATTTTAGAAATGTGCTATATAAAATTTGAGTATGGTAATTTAAGTAGGAAAACAGTGAAGAATTTTACTCAACTGCTAATAGTGTCACTGCTATGGATTATTTCACTTCTCTAAGTTTTGTGGTTTATTCAGCACATGCTAAATGAATATTATGTGCAGGGCCCAAGGCTAGGTGCTGGGAATATGACTATAAATTAGATGCCAAGCTTGCTCACAACAAGCTAAAGCTCTCACAGAGAATGTAGGAAGACAGAGGGGCAGGTCCCAGGGCTGTGCTGAGATGGAGTTGAGCACCAGCAGGAAGAGTGTGCAGAGGAGGAGCATTTCACCTAATTTTAAAGATGGATGTGGAAGGTCAAAGAACGTTTCCCCAAACCTAAGCTGAGATTCAAAGGTAAACAGAAGCCAGGCTCTGAAAGGAGAGAAGGAACAACCAAGAGAGTTTCAGGTCAAGGTTGGACAGTGTGACAAGAGCACAAAGAGATGGGGGACATGGTAAGACTGGGGCCATAGAACTGAGTTGAAGAGAGTCCTTACACGCCATGGTGGAGAAGTTGGCTTTTCATCTGAAGAACAATGGGAAGTCTTTCAAGGGTTTCAAACAGAAAAAAAATGACATAATCTTACTAGCACTTTTAAAAATCCCCTGGGCTGCTGTGTAGAGGATGGATCAAAAAGAAAAAAAAAAAAAGACTAGACCCAGAAAAACATAGTTAAGAGGTTGTGTAGGATACAGACAAAATGAAAGGAGACTTTGCTCTACCTTTCACAGTTGAAGGTGATATAGGGAAGGAGAGAAATTAACCAAGTCTGAAGTGGTAAGCCCTTGTGATTGTTTTAAAGAAGGTGTAGGATGATAAGGGAAAATGAGTTACATTTGATGAATATTATATTTTAAATATTCACTTATTGAGAAATGAATAAATGTAAGGTTTTATGGGATACCTATTAATCAATCAGTATGGAAATTTCATTCTGTAGTTCAAGAAACAAATCTGGACTAAGCATATAAATTTGAGTTTCATGTTACAGATATATTGGCTTTTATATTCTCTATCTCCATGGGTCCATATGAACAACCTATTTGTATTATTTATCTACTGCTCTATAACAATATTTTTTCAAACTTAAAACTACAGGTTTATTATCATACAGTGTCCATGTGCAGGAGTCAGTCCAGGCATGGCTCACCTGGGTCCTAGGCTTAGAAGCTTATCAAGAGCAGTTGTCAACTGGGGATGTAATCTCATTTGAGGCTCCATAGAAGAGAAATCCACTTCCAAGTCCACACAGTTGTTTGGTAGAGTTCAATTCCTTACAACTGAAGGACCTCAGACCTCAGTTGTTTTGTGACTATGGCTCAGAGACAGCCCACACAGTTCCTGGCCACATGGGGCTCCCCAACATGGCTCCTTACTTTCTCAAAGTCAAAAAGGGAGAGTCCAGCAAGACAGTTTAATAAAATGTTGTCATGTAATGATGCTCATGTAATCACAAATATCCCTTGGCTTTGTCAGGTTCTGACAAAGCCTCTGGTTAGAAGCATCACAGGACATGTCCACATACAGAGAGAGTCTCAACAGAGACTAGGAAACTAGGAAAAGGTGACCACAGAGTCAACCTTCAGAGTCATCTATTTGGCACATCATCCCTGTATTCTCTTTATCACTCTCTGTGTGATCTCTCCTCCATGTTTTCCTGACATCTCTCTTCCCCTTAAATCTATTTTCCACTCTGTAAAATCCATTGATAGCTTTTTAAATTCAATTATCTTTTAAACTGCTGGATAGTTTATCATCTTACAAATCAACCTTTTCTTTCATCCTGCCCTATTTCTTTTCACCATGATTGCTGTTCTTTTTCTTTGAAATACTAAGAACTTGTTTAATAATCTCTTTCAGATTATTCTAATATTTCAGACTCTCAGAATGCTCATCGTCCTGTTTTTGTTTCTGTGGAATTTTCTTCACAAAAGTTTTTCCTCTGTAGATTCTATTTTTTGTGGGTGAACACAGCTTTAAGAGGACTGTCCCCCGCTGTGGGAGTCTGTGTACTCGCTGAGTTGTGGAAATGTTCCTGGCTGGAGTCTTCGCTTTGGTCTTTTGCTGGGCAGACAGGAGGTTCGTCAGTCTAGTGCCTGCTTGGGGATTCCCACAACATCTGGATACTGTAAATTTGGGCTCCGCATCCAATTTCGGTGTAAGCCCTTCATAAATATAACCCCAGCTGCCTCTCCAGCCTCATTTCTTATCCATTCTCTCACGACTCCCCTCTCCAGCTGTGCGGAAACTCTCACCTCCCTCAAGCTTTCCACAGCTCCTCCTTTACCCACGGGTACCTTCCTAGCTTCCCATTTCCTTCTTTTCT